ACATGGCCCAGTCCAGGAGTCTGGGGAGGATTCGGACGAGGGCCCTGTATCCAATACAGAGATGGGGCCAGGACCATCTGGGAGTTATGTGCTGACTCCGGAGCCTCCAGAATCTGACAACAGCGAGGCAGAGGAACAAGGGGAGCCTGTTCCCAGTGTGTGCTGCACAGAGCTACCAGAAGGCAAGAACAACCAGTTTCAACAAAAGGGGTGACTCAGAAGTAAGACATAAAGGAGGAACAAAGGGACATGAGCCATTGCAGGAAGCAACTTTGTTTGTACTGGTTGGTTTGAAACTTGAAGCTCTGTGTTGAATTTGTGCTCCAGTTGACCTTGTATAACTAACTGGACATTTAGTCGTTGGCAGCATTTCAAGTAAGATAAAGGTGCATGCTTATCAGACATATCCTGAAGGACTTTGGCAGACTTCCATGGGACTATTTACAAACTGTTTGAGACTCATTACGGGATGTGAATGACTAAAATTCACAGCCATTGAAATAAAGAAAAAAGGGGTTTTGGACTAACGTGTGTTTGTTAGTGTCTCAATAAGCCTTGGGCAGAACCCGTCTATCATTCTCCAGCAAATGGAAGAGGAAAATAGAATGGAATGGAATGGAATGGAATAGGAATAGGAATAGGAATAGAAATGGAAGGTGCCTCAGTGTGTTTTCATTTAGTATCTAAGACAAACGGGGAGCTAGCTTTGAATAAGTTAGATGATCAGCACATTTTGGTTTTCTTTTAACATTTGCATTAATTTTTTAAAAAATGTTATGCTCTAATTCAGAGGTCTCCAAACTTGGCAACTTTAAGACTTGTGGACTTCAACTCCCAGAATTCCTCAGCCAGCAAAGCTGGGAGGGTAGAATGGCCACAAAACTTGTCTTATAAAGCAGGAATCAGAATCAGAACAGACCTGAAAGGACCTTGGAGGTCTTCTCATTCAGCGCCCTGCTCAAGCAGGAGATCCTATACCAATTCAAACAAGTGACTACTGTCCAGTCTCTTCTTAACCTCTGGTGATGCAAGCTGTTCCACTGGTTAATTGTTCTCACTGTTAGGAAGTTTCCTCCTTAATTCCAGGTTGCTTTTTTCCTTGATTGGTTTCCGTCCATTGTTTCTTGTCCTGCCCTCTGGTGCTTTAGAAAAATAAATTAACCCCCTTCTCTTTGTGGCAGTCTCTCAAATATTGGAATACTGCTATCATGTCCCCACTAGTCTTTCTTTTCCCTAGGCTAGCCAAACCCAAGTCCTGTAACCCTTCCTCGTATATTTGTTCTAGTTATAGTATATTTATTGTTCCTGGTTTTTTTATTAACTCTATCAGGAATTCTGAGGGAGAAAAGTTGTTAGTGAACAAGATAGTAGTGTTTGACAGGTAAGTAAAAAATTAAGTAAAAATTACACATTTATTTGTTTCTTTAGAGAATCTATATGGTCATCTGTCTTACAGATTAACCCTGAATGTCTCAAAGCAAAACAAAAACAACAAGATAAAGCACAACATAAAGTTCTCTCTAAGACAACATAGCAATTCATACCACTAGCTTCTTAATTCATTCTCATCCTAGTCAATGCTTGGGTGAAAAGCTAGGTCTTCGTGGTCTTCTGGAAGGCTAAAAGGGTAGGGTAGGGCTCCTTAGATCTCAGAGGGGAAGTAGTTCCAAAGGGCTGGAGTGGCAGTAGAGGAGCAATGCCTTCAAGGCTGCACAAGATGACAATGTTTGAGGATGGGATCTGAACTGGGTCCACCCTATCTAACCTGATAACAGATAACAGATAATCAGAGTTGGAAGGGACCTTGTAGGTCATCTAGTCCAACCCCCCACCCAAGCAGGAGACCCTACACCATTTCTGACAAATGGCAGTCCAATCTCTTCTTGAAAGTCTCAAGTGATGGTGCTCCCACAACTTCCGAGGGCAAGCTGTTCCATTGGTTGATTGTTCTCACTGTCAGAAAGTTTCTCCTTATTTCCAGGTTAAATCTCTCCTTGTTCAGTTTCCATCTGTTATTCCTTGTCTGGCCTCCAGGCGCTTTAGAAAATAGCCTGACCCTTTCCTCTCTTTGGCAGTCTCTCAAATATTGGAAGACTGCTATCATGTCTCCCCTGGTCCTTCTCTTCACTAGACTAGCCATGCCCAGTTCCTGTGACCGTTCTTCGTATGTTTTAGTCTCCAGTCCCCTAATCATCCTTGTTGCTCTTCTCTGTAATTTTTCTAGAGTCTAGTTCACCTAGAGACCCAGTTGGCTGGACAGTCATCTCAAGGAAAGTGCATGGGAAAGTCTATTGCTTTGCTTTACAGAAGAAATCTGAGCAGCTTCAGCGCTGAAATAATGCTCATCTCCATGTCCCACTTACCAGGGCATAAAATTCCCTGTGAACTGTTTTTAAATAATGTAAATTCCTGAAGATGTCTTGATCTCCTCTTGAGTTTATTACAGGAACAGATTATTAAACAGTGAGCATTTAGAAAAGAATGCATTCCTTGGCAGAGGCTAGCATAGTTTTAGGAAGAATAAATCATCCAATAGGAGAGAATATATGTGACTCAGGGTTAAACTGTAGAGTCCTTGATGCTCTCTGAGCTTGGTTGTTTCTTAGTTGTATATAAACAGAGAGCAAACCCCACACTTAGTAGAACTGGGGGATATTGCCTACTTGGGTAATGAAATGCATACAAGCAAACAGCCAAACTCAGAGAACATCCAAGACTCCACAGAATAAATCATGGGAAACTAGTTTTCTTCCTGGATAGAGCAACCACTTTAACCCACCATAGGAATGTGGTGGATGTAAACATCAGCAAAACATTCAGTCAAATCTCATATTAATTTTTGGTAGGAAAAATGGTAAGATACAGGTTAGTCTATGCTACCATCATGATTAGAGAATTGTTGAAAAATTATATCCCATTAATATATGTCAGTGGCTTTGTGTTAAACAGAAAGCAAAGGTTGAATAGTATACCACGCTCCATTCGGTGTCTTGTGCAGTTCAACGCATTTATAAATGACTTTGCTGACAGATTAGAAAATGTAGCATCACATTTGCAGATGACATAAAAGAGGATACCAAACATCTTAGAGTGTCAAGATTGAAGAGTATCTTCACAAACTCAGCAGAAACCTGAAAACGTAATGCAAAATCCTACATTTAGATTTAAAAATTAATATAGGATAGTTCTCTAGGTTGAATGCTGAAGCCAATGGTATGAAGCAGCTTCTCAAAACAAAACGCAGTCTTAGGCTTCATCAGCAGAAGTATACTGTCAAACTGGAAATAAGACCTTGCTCCTATCTGTTCTGCAACAGTCAAATGACAAATATTACATGCAATTGTAGGCATGTGTGTTTAAGGGAGAACATCAAGAAACTAAAGAATGTCTGGAAGATACCAGTCAAGATGAAAAGAAGAAAAAAGGAATGGTTGGAGGCACAGGCATTGGGTATGTTCAGCCTTGAGAAGATAAAACTGTGGGGAGGCAATAGCTGTCACCAAATATCTGAAGGATTGTCAGGGAGTAGATAAGGCATAACTGTCCAGAAACTGTTTCAGGAGACAGGACAAGAAATCATGGGTTTAAATTGTAAGAAAATAGATTTTTGTTGGCTATCAGGAAAATGTTAATGGTAATTGCTGTTCAGTAATGGAACAAACTGTCTTGGAAAGTGATGGATTTTTTTTTTCTTCAGAAGTTGCCGCCTGTTGAGTATGCTTTATTGCTGGATTCCTACACTGACAAGATTGTTTAATTATTAGGGGTGTCAAACTGGTGGCCCTCGGGCCAGATGCAACACATGCAGGCCACACCTACCCCAGCTCCACGAATGGGAAAACATCACAAAATGTCACGTGACGGCAACGTGACAGCGTGAATTTGACACCTGTGGATTAGATGAACTTTAACGTCCCTTCCAGCTGCAACATTTTAGGGTTTGATGGTTCTGTGAATTACTCAAGTTGTCTTCTTTTATTCTGTGCAGATCAACCATTCAGTATGCACAAACGTCCCGATAAAATCAACAAGAGTTCTGTTTTTCTTGTTACTCCAAATAAATGAGATGTGGACCCACAGGCACTTTCAATACTCCCCCAACCCTATTCCATCACATATTAAGGCACATAACTGGGACAGTTTTTTCTACCGCTGTGACACTGGCTGGGTGGGGAAACACAGTTGGAGAATCCACTAATTACTTTCCTTAACTTGTTCCATATGAAATTGCATGGATGTTCTGTATGGACTAGCTGCTTTATAGCTGAGACCAGCGGTGCTCAGCATGCTGCTTCAAATCTTAAAAACTAATTAGTGTATGCTGAATGGGTCCTGTGTATATGGCAGCCTTTCCCAACTAACTTGGACTTCAATTACATCAGGGGTCTCGAACTTGCGATGACGTGTTGTCATCACGTGACATATTGCAACTTTTCCCTTCCTTCGCTAAACCGGGGGGTGGATGTGGCCAGCAAATGACACATCTGGCCTGAGGGCTGCAAGTTTGACACCCCTGAATTCCATTAAAAAAGGTCCTATAACTGACCTTGTAGACTCCACATTATAAAGTAATACAGTAATACCTAAATGCAAAAACAATGTTTATTGGAAGAGAATCAAAACCTAGAGGATTCCCACTCCCCCCCACAAAAATCCAGCAATCTATTGGAATAATTACTCTCCTTTTGAAATGTTATATTCTGGCTGATGATTGCTTCCCTCAAATTTTTCAGTTGCTCTGTCAAGATTTAGCAGAATGGAGGAGGGATAAATACCTTTACAGGTAGAAAAAAGCAATCATGAAAACAGCTGTGAAAGTAGATTACAGAATACAGGTGCACATGTTCACCTATCAAGACACACATACAGCATAACATAATTTTTGTGTGCCTAAGTCTTTGCCCTTGATTAATGTTCCTTATAATTCAAGGTTTATTTTATTTACTATTATTTGTGAAATTTGTATCTCTACCTTTTGGTGTTGGACTGGTGGGTTGGGGGAAGCGCACTAGAAAAACTCGTTTTTATCCTCTTGCTTTTAAATTAGATTTTCAATGTTAACCCAGTTTCTTGTACTGTATCATTTTAGAGCATTTGCTATTTTTATAGAGGAAATTCATATAGAAATTTGTAGAGTGAAGATTTGTTTCTGAATGTTTCTTTTCTGCATGTGTTGAAAACTTGCACAATAGTGATGGGCCTCATGTGTTCTTTTCAACTTTCTGAATCTGAAAGAAATAGCATGGAGAAACGTTTTGTGACAGAGAAAAGTGAGCTAGAGTGGAAGATGAAATATACAGTATATTGTATTAATATTGTATTCTTTACCCAAATGACCTTTTGCTTTCCTCATACCACTATTACTTCCCAAGTCACTATTAATTTCATTTTCCAAAGCTTGAATGCTCTCCAGTGAAAGTTTAGTAAAATGCCCATTTAAAATAAATTGCCTGCATTCATACATCACACTGAGACAAAACCCAAACAAATATTGCTGATAAGCTTAATGTTTTGTTTTCAATTATTTGTATCAGCATGGGTTGGGCCCAAGTTTAGCTTATATTTAGAATGGCTATTTATGATGTTCAGACAATTGTTTTAAATTATATGCCTTTTTGTTTGAGGTCATTTGATACATTTTGGGTCCTATTTTGAGTAGAGAGGACTCTGAGCCAAGACTCTTTTGGCTTATTATTTATTTACTGCACTTTGTTACATTTATATCTCTTGGCAAAAGCTAACATGGCACTTCCAGAAAACTTCCTGAAATCAGTGGTGCACTTAGTATGTAAGCAATGACAGCCTCCCCTCATCCACACCTCTCAGAGAGCCAGAAGTGATTAGAAACCTGGAGTAATATGAACATGTTGGTTTTTTTAGGACTTTTGCTACAGTAGCTTTCTTATTTATTTCTTTGTTTTGGTCACAGACCAGCACAAAACTATGGTAATAACATAACATTCACTGTACAACAGAAGTAAAAATAAAAAAAAAGTTAGCATAGCTTCACATCCTCATAGTATTTTATAAATCCTAGTACACATAGATCAAATAAAATAAAAATGAAATTATTAACACAAAAGTTATAAGATTAAAACCCGGGAGATATGTATAAAATTAAAATCAATAGTCTGAATGCTACAGATAACTGATAAACAGGGGTGAGATTCAACTGGCGTTACTACCGGTTTGGTGATTACGTTTTGCTGTGTGTGCATGTAAATTAACCTTAGGCTGTGCTGCCCGGACAGCTGAAAAGCGTTCGAAAAGCCCTTTTCCCCCTGCTTTTTCAACCTCAGCTGTGCCGTGCAAAGCAGCTGAGGTTGAAAAAGCAGGAAATATAGAACAAGTAAGAGCCCGGGCAGGCGGGTGGGCCAAACAGCAGCAAACACAGAACTGGTTCTGTGTCTGCTGCTCTTCAGAGCTACCGGCTCTAAAGAACCGGGGAGAACCGGTAGCATCCCACCCCTGCTGATAACTATAAAGGCATAGAAGTACTAGGATTTATAAAATACTATGAGGATGTGAAGCTATGCTAACTGACATTGAATCTAAAAATTGTTAGAGACCTACTTTCTTATTTAAAAAGACACATTATAGCCACTAACTGCATATAATGCATTTTATTGCTTTTAGTTGTTTAATGATTTTCTGCAAAACGAAGTGCTAACTTCTAATAAAATATGACTCTTTAAATGAGGAATCTTTTCAGACCACCAAGAATTATTCAGCAATACTGCTAACTGAACCCTGCTCATACAATGCTCGTATATCTCTGACTTTACTCAGTAGCTTGACCCCTTCCTCTCTGTGGCAGCCCCTCAAATATTGGAAGACTGCTATCATGTGTCCCCCGGTCCTTCTCTTTACCCTGACTAGCCAAGCCCAGTTCCTGCAACCGTTTGTTGTATGTTTTAGCTTCCAGTCCCCTAATCTTCCTGGTTTCTCTTCTCTGTACTTTTTCTAGAGTCTCAACATCTTTTTATAATGTGATGATCTTGATTGTATCCCTCTGTTAATACAATTTAGGAATGCATTAGCTTTTTTGGCTGCTGCTGCACATTGCTAGCTCATATTTAGCTGGTTGTCCATTAAGATTCCAAGATCCCTCTCACAGTTACTGCTATTGAGCCTGGTTTCACCCAGTCTATATGTGTATCTCTGGGTTTTCTTGCCTAATTGTAGGACTTTACTTTTCTCTACATTGAATTTCATTTTGTTAGATACGGCCCAGTGTTCTAGTCTGTCAAGATCCATCTGGATCTTGAGCCTATCTTCTTGGGTGTTAGCTATTCCTGCCAGCTTAGTATCATCTGCAAATTTGGTAACTTCCCCTTCTATTCCCTTATCTAAGTCATTAATGAAGATATTGAAGAGTACGGGGCCTAAGACGCAACCTTGTGGCAGCCCACTGCTTACTTCCCTCCATGTAGACTTAGACCCATTAAGGACTACTTGTTGAGTATGGTTTGTCAGCCAGTTGCGAGTCCATCTGGTGGTGGTGCTATCTATTCTACTTTTTTCTGGCTTACTAAGAAGTAGGCTGTCTGTCTTCTCCTTGCTCATAAGCATTTCCTTACATATTTAGACCATGTATCGCTGAAGGGCTTATCTTTGGCCATCCTTATGCTGTGCATCCAAGACTCAATGCTGCCTGAACTCATTGTAAAGGAGACAATGCATTTAACCATCTACGTTCATACCTATTAATCAATAATCGAGTTTCTTATCACTTTAAATTGTGATTTGTTCAATCGTCTCATGATTGTTGTTATTCATCTCATGGGATGCAGAAGACAGGCCTTCTCTTTTATTATACCTGTCCTTTGGAGCAGCAGCAACATCCTGAAGTCCATATGTCCTGCTGGTGGCCTTCAAAAGACACTTAAAGACTTGACGGTTTCCACACTGGCACTCGGCTGGAATGATCTGCCATTTAAGACTGTATCTATTTTCCACATTCCTCCCTATGGCTCTTTAAAAAAAAAACACCTCACTGTTTTTATTTTATTTTATTTTTATTATTTTTAGCCTTCTGCAAGCCTCCTAGTCATAGGTGATGTAACTGACATCATAAATAAAGAAATAGTCAAATGAATGCTATTTCATTTATCTGAATATGCTTCTTTGAGACTCTGGTGGCTCACACTAAAACATTAAATCACGAGAACATTAAAACATTATCATACAAAATAAAACACACTGACCTCTAAACTAAATGTAAAATGGTACCTCCTAGATGCACTTCCTTCCAGTGATGTTTCATTTTCCATCCCTAAGTCCCATTGGAAAAGCATGGTCTTACCAGACACCTGGAACATATTACCATATGTGGTGGTCTTGTATAGAAGCTAAAAGATATTGGGCAAAAATACACACGTGGTTGGAAAAAATGATAAAACAACACATAGATTTGAAAACTGAAATATTTTTATTAGGAATGGTACCTGAAGGTTACAGTAAAGAAAAAATATATTTAATTATACATGTATTAACATTGGCCAGAATTGTATTTGCTCAGAATTGGAAAAGTGATAAGATACTGACAGAGGGAAAAGTAATTGAGAAAATATTTGAATGTGCAGAGATGAATAGGTTAACATTGGTAATCAAAGAAAAAGAAGAAACAGAATATTATATGGTATGGGATTTATATTATCAATGGTTGGAAAATAAAACAAATTAAAATGGACTAGATGAATATATAGAGCAATAAGTTAAGATTGTTAAAATATATATTAAATAATAGCTATAAGAAAATGTGATTATTGTTATATTGGCAAGAAAAGTATTAATTATAATTGTAAGCACAAGATATATGTACTCAGTTGACACAGTTGAAATGAAATGGAATTATTGTAAAATATAAAATAAAAACATTTTAATAAAAAAAAAGGAAAAGCATGGTCTTAACTGCACTCTAAAATGATAATAAGGAAGGGTGTGTTACTGAACATGGTGTTTCTGGATTCCCCCCCCCCCCGCCCTTCACATCTTGTGTGAGGGAATTCTCACTCTTGTCCTCTTACCCAGCATGAAGTGGGCAGGATGAATCTACTTGGGTCACATGGTCCTGAAGATAACAAAGGATCTAAGTCATAAAGATCTTTACGGTACTATGTAATGAATAGCACTTTGAATTTGACATGGAGGTTTACCAGTATCCATTGTGGCCCTCACAGAATTGGTGTTATTCTGTGCTACTGGACAGCAAGTGGGCAGCTATATTTTGAACCATTTGTAGCTTCCGAGTTGACTTTAAAGACAGCTCTGTTACATTTTCAGTTGACTGGGAACATACATAATGCTAATTCATGAATCAGTTTCTGAAACACTCCCCCCCCCCCATAATAGTTGGGTTCATTTAATGCAGGGGTGTCCAACCTTGGTAACGTTAAGCCTGGAGGACTTCAACTCCCAGGATTCCCCAGCCAGCTTTGCTGGCTGGGGAATTCTGGGAGTTGAAGTC